CTCCTGCCTGTCTATTGGTTCGCTGGGCCGCAGCGCCCGCCTAAGGCCTTTGCTGATTGGTCTTCCTCGAGTAGGTGTGGCAGCCCAGAAGGGGAGGGACTACCTACGGGGCGTGGCTTGTGCGCGGAAAGGGCAGTGTTTGGAGGTTAGTAAGAGGTGCAATGACACTTAGCTCTTCAGTCCCAGACGCTAGTGAAGGCCTACGGTTTCTGATCTGATGCCCAATGAACTTCAACTTTCAAAGATCGGTTGACACACTTAGCACACCCACATCTGCCTAAGGGGGACTGCAGCCCCTCCCGCCTCTGGGTTTTGGAAATCTGGTGAAATATTAACAGTGAACCAGGGGTGTGTTGGCGCACGCCTTTAATCCCAGCACTTAGGAGGCAAAGGCAAGAGGATCTCTGTGAGTTCCAGACCAGTCTGGTCTACAGAGCAAGTTCCAGGACAACAAGGGCTACAGAGAAACCCTGGCTCGACTGTAATAAATAATAAAATAATCATAATAATACAGTATCTGATACATTGGAAAAATCAGGTTTGCTTCTTCTGGACTGATATTTCAATATTTAATTTTTTTTTTGAGACAGGTTGCCTCTACATTTTCTTTTTTTCCTTGCGTCAAGTTGACTTAATGCCCTCACATTTTCTATGTAGCTAGCAGGAATTTGAACTTCTGATCCTCTTGCCTTTGACATCCCAGTGTTTGGATTACAACCTTTTGCCACCACACCCAGCGTACCTATTCCTTTGTGATACTTTTACTCATATACTTCTTTCCCTATGAAAAGTTTTGAAAATAGGATGGGAGAGTTGACCCAGGAGGTAAAAGGTACTTGCTCTGTAAGTCTGACAGCCTGAATTTGATCCACCAACTGCCTTGCAAAGCCAGAAGTGGTATCACACATGTGCGATCCCTGTACTCCTACAGGGAGATGGTACATGGAGACAGAAAAACTAAAGTTCTCTGGCTGGCTAGAGTAGAAGGATAGAAGCAGAAATGAAACACCCCAGTCAACAAAAAACTCCCTCAAGTTGTCCTCTAACCTGTATGGATGTGCTCATGCTCCCCCCACCCTCCCCCCCACACACACCTGTGCACACGCTTGCATTTTAACAAGTAAAGTTTAAAAAGGAAAGCTAGAGGAGCTCATAGGCCCCAAAGGTGAACCTACCACTATTATTTTGCTAAATGGACAGACAGTATCAAATTTCCCTTAATAATCTGTATTTTCATAAATTAGATTGATGGAACTCTAAGACCTCATTAGAGAAGTTTCTTTGTGCACTGGACAGCCCTTAACACAGAAACTCAAAACTGGTCAAACTGCAAATAAGTATTGTGGAGTGTTCAGCCATCAAGGAGATGTCTATGCCCACATCCCTTCTCCCCAAGTCTCGGGGACCATCTCTGTGAGAGCCAAAGGTAAAATAGTGTCTCATGGACATTGCAAGATGGCTGCACTTAGGAATTTCAGTTCATTTTATGTGAAGAGGTGTTTCTTTATGGAAAGCCATTTTCAGAACTCAAAATGGTGGGAGAAATTCTTTTTTTTGTTTGTTTTTGTTTTGTTTGTTTTTTGTTTTTCAAGACAGGGTTTCTCTGTGTAGCTTTGGAGCCTATCCTGGCACTTGCTCTGGAGACCTTTCTGGCCTCGAACTCGCAGAGATATGCCTGCCTCTGCCTCCGGAGTGTTGGGATTAAAGGCGTGCACCACCAACACCCGGTGGTGGGAGGAATTTTTAACCATTGTAGTTTTCTTAGAGCATGGTGCTGGGGTAAAAGTCAATATAGTCTGTTCCAAGAATCGTCATTTTTTTTTGTTTTTCGTTTTTTTTGTTTGTTTGTTTGTTTTGTTGTTGTTGTTCTTTGGTTTTTTGGTTTTTCGTTTTTTTTTTGTTTGTTTGTTTGTTTTGTTGTTGTTGTTCTTTGGTTTTTTGAGACAGGGTTTCTCTGTATTGTTTTGGAGCCTGTCCTGGAACGTGATCTGTAGACCAGGCTGGCCTCGAACTCACAGAGAGCTTCCTGTCTCTGCCTCCTGAGTGCTGGGATTAAAGGCGTGCACCACCAAAGCCCGGCCAGTCTTGTGTTTTTGAAAATTGATAATGTAATGGGCATTATAACTGTGAGGGGAAAAATAAAAGACCCCAACTAAGAGAGGGACCTCTGACCCTAGGCTATGTGACAGGAGGCCACAAGCAGTTCTCACAAGTAAAAGGGGACCTAAGCTCACCACCAACGCCAGTTCCTACCCCATTATCTTAAGAAAACTGGGAACTAGATGGCCTCCTGACCTGTCAATTGTAAGCCCCCCTGACCATGGATCACATGACCAGAAGCTCGGACCCAGGAGTAGCTGAGGCAACATCTGCTGCTGCCCCCTTACTTTGAGAAGACTGGGAAACAGATAGCCTCTTGCCCTACTGGTCGTAAAACTTAGATCACAGGATGTGCTTCAGTGGAAAGCCCCTAGCCACAGATTTACCAATTAATCTTACCTAACCAGGTGACAATTACTGCCTTTTTCAAGGCCCTTCATTTCATGATAACCTTGAATGGAAACTTTGTGTGCTAGGTAATCTCTGAAACCATGGGAACCTTGTGAACTGAGACTTGCGGTCTCACGATTCCCCTTCCCCCTTTCCCTTTAAAAGCGCCTTGCATTTGTGGTTCAGGGCTTCAACTCTCACCACAGAGTGAAGCCCCAGCTAGCTGGTTATATGAAATAAAAACCTTCTTGTGAATGCATCCAGGTGTTGTTGGCTCCTAGAAGCCTTGGGTTTCTTCCCTCTCTTGTGAGCACAACACACTGTCTTTAAAGATAATGTGCTGGGTAGTGGCAGCACATGTCTGTAACCCCAACACTTGGGAGGTGAGGTCAAAGGTTGAGGGGTACAAGGTCATCCTTGACTACATAGCAAGTTGGAAGCCACCTGGGTTACAAGGGACCTGTCTCAAAAAATAAAATAAAAAACAATTGGTAAAGTTAAAATCAAGATGGTTATACTATGGAGGTTTGGTTACATTTATTTGACAATTGCTGGGTTTTGGTTTTTGGCTTTTGTTTTTCAATACATTTATTTTGTATCTGTGTAGGTATGCACATGCCATGGAGCGTGTGGAGGTCAGAGGACAACATGTGGGAGTTGGTTCTCTCCTTCCTCCAGGTGGGTTCTGGGGATCCAGCTCAGACTGTCAGTCATGGCAGCAAGCACCTGAAATCATCTCATCAGCCATTATTTTTAAGGGTCTCGTGTAGCCCAGGTTGGCCTCCAACTTGCTATGTAGCCAGGGATAACCTTGAACTTCTCTCAACCTTCCAAATGCTAAGATTATAAGCATGTGCTCCCAGACTCAGTGTATTAAAAGGCAGGGGATGAGACCCATGGCTTCCTGTATGCAAGCACTCTACCAGCTTTAGCTCCAGCCCTCATATAGTTTATGGTGCGTGTGTGCATGTGGTGTGTGTGTGTGTGTGTGTGTGGCCTAAATTTTTAAAGATATCAGTATTTCTGGTACATCCTTTGTGTCTACTTAGATTTATGTCGTTAATATTATTTTAAAGATATCAATATTTCTGGTACATCCTTTGTGTCTACTTAGATTTATGTCGTTAATATTAGAAAACAAAAGAATGGAGGTCCCAGGCATCCAGTTTGTTTTTGTTTTGTGTGGTGCGTGTGCGTGTGTGTGTGTGTGTGTGTGTGTGTGTGTGTGTGTGTGTGTGAATGGTTTTTGTTGTTTTTGGTTTCTGGAGACAGGGTTTCTCTATATTTATTTGGAGGTTGTCCTGGAACTTGCTCTGTAGACCAGGTTGGCCTACTAACTCAAAGAAATCTGCCTGCCTCTGCCTCCAGAGTGCTGGGATTAAGGGCCTCTGCCACTAACGCCTCAGACCCCATCTTCACTTCTTAAGGAAGCCACTGAGCTCACTTCCCAACCCTGAGTGAAAAGGTCTGTCCTCCTTACAGAGGGATGGGGAGTTTTTCATAACAGAAACTTTGCGAGCCCTACCCCTAGGGACCCCTTCCTATGGGTGACTTCGATGAAGCAGTTTGATCTCCAGCACAACATAAACCTCTGCTATCCCAGCACTCCGGAGGTGGAGGCAGGAGCACTAGCAGTTCAAGGTTATCTTTAGCTACCCGGCAAGTGCAAGGGCCGAAGGGAAACTTGTTTTTGTTTTGGTTCTGGTTTGTTTGTTTTCCAGGACAGTGTTTATTTGTGTAGCCCTGACTGTCCTGGAAATAGATCTGTAGACTAGGATGACCTG